CCGAATTGCGTTTCTCTCAGCTGTCTTGTGTTAGTCAGGATTTCCCACCGTTCGTCTGGATTTGCAAATTTTGCAACTATAGTACGTGGTCTGTTAGATAAGTGAGGGCCAATCCTATGTACACGTAAGAGGTGAATGTCTGTGTCACACTTCATTTCTTTCTTTAAGAAACATTTAATTACCTCTTTAGGTTCTTCTCCAGGCATTTCCGGGATCCCGTGAAAGAGTAGATTATCTCTCATAGAGCGTGTTTTCAGGTCAATAACAGATTCTTTCAGGTCTCGCTGTTCCTGGTATATGGAGTCTATGTCATAAAACACGTCTTCTACATCTCTCGACAACCTGTCCCGATCCTCGGTACTCTGTTCTGTAAGCTCCCGTACCTGTTGTTTCAGCTTTTTGTTTGCTGATGCAGTCTCTCTCACACAGGCTTCAAGCTTATCAACGCGAAGTGTTGTCTCTATCATTGTAATGTCGAGAGATGTCAGCTTATTGTCAATCATAGTTAATTTACTGTCAATGCTATCAACACATTGCATCCTCTGGTTTATGGAATTAATTTATGGAGAAATCGGGGCCTGGTCAAAAGCCAGCTTATTATAGAAGGAACACGTGAAGATCTTGGGTAGAATAGGTCTTCAGCAACCCAAGCTAGTCTCACCCCGTGAAGATCCGAGGTAGAATAGGTCTTCAGCAGCCCATGCTTGTCTCACCCCGTGAAGATCCGAGGTAGAATAGGTCTTCAGCAACCCATGCTTTCCGTAACAGGCGATTATGCTTGTCGTAAGAGGCGACTAACGAGATCGGGTGGTCAGGCTCGCTGACTTGGTTGATGCATGTCATCGTATCCCAATTGCGTGGATCGATACTCATGATATCAATCCTTGGATTGTCTGGTCCTGACTCGATTATTTACAGACCGCCGTCATATAGCTGGACTATTGCTGAGTCTGGCGTTAAACAACAAACAAAACAAACAAATAAGGCTAAGTTTCTCTGAAATCCTTTCTTGTCCCATCTATCAACGTAAAGACGTTTTGAAGTAAGGCAGAGATACGACAAATAAACAAACAAACAAAACATAATTTTACCCTTTACTTTGTGAAAATCTTGAACATGAGAAGGCAAAGTGATTGTAACTTAGATAAAAAAAAACTTGATGAAGGGAAATTGGTTCTAACATACATTGTGATCCTTGTGATTAGACCGTTCTATGAAATGACTTTTAATATACATAAGCAACAGAGAACTGAAACATATTCGATGTCAACAGTTTCACTCAGACCTATTGTCAAAGAGCCTCTTATATAGTTGTATACAATTTGTCTTTAATGCCTCCTTATGTATGTGCCTAGTAACACAGGATTGTTGTTAGAGACGAGTTAAATTAAGATCCGGTGTCTACTGTTTGAGCATGTCCAGGACTCGATTATTTACAGGTCGCCTTGATATAGCTATTATGCTACTGACTGCAGCGAAACACACTTCATTCACCAATTCACTACTGGTTTTGGGTATCTCATAAACGTAGTAGGGGCTTTTGCCACCACCGGTCTGTCAAGTCCCTCCACCAACACCAATCGCCGCTTAAAGAACTGGACAGCCGCCTTGTCACTGAGATCTTGGAACTCCTCCTTGTGTTGTAGCCCATTAGTGCCACTGTATTCAATGTGCACAGCCCGAGCCAGACAATCCTCAAGGACATCATCAAAGTCATATCGGTCTGCTAGATGCATGAAATGTACCAGCTGAGACTTGGATAAAGTTCGCACGTGTAGTTTCAGGTAGGTCTTTACAAACCTGCGACAGCGTTGTATTAGAGACATCATTGCATATTCCTCCGCCAGTGGAAGTAGTGCGTCAATGTTGTCTACTGTGACCGGATTGACGGTCGATGGGTAGATGCACAGTAGCAGCTCTACAATGTCGTCGTATGTCTTCCCGGGTAGCGGAACTTCTAATGAGGTTTTCTTTTTGAACTTCCCAAAAAACATTTTTTCAAAGACTGGAGATGCAATCGAAAGTACTGTTTTGTTCACGTGCAGCTTTTGGTCCTCGACTACAAGCGCCACATCACTTGTCAGGGATACCTCGGAAAACATGTTCTCAGAATTTTCCATGACCGCTTCTGTAATAAGAAATTCTATATTAGGAGCATGAGACGACGGTGTCATACGATCACATACGCGCCACTGAGAGTTGGTTTTTGGACAGTTAATTTCCTTTTCGTGATTTTTTGACGTTTCAGCTTTGGCCAAATACACTCATCTCGACAGGTAATGTGACTGAATATTGGTAAAAAGTGGTTTGTTGGCATTGAGTTGCACACGACAACAGACTTTTGTTTATTAATCATGTCTTCCCGCTAATATTGTCTTCGGCTTTTGAACAGATGCACACAATTTGACGTATTACCTTTCATAATTTGTATTCTTAGCACACTTTGAGCTTTATATTATGAGGGTCAAGATTCGTAAAGCACATTCTCAAATTGATCAAGACATCTATTTCGGAATTGTCGCATGACTGCATGTTCGGCGTCAAGCAATAACTATTTACTGCTATAAAATAAGTTGTCAAGAAAGTGAGGGGATATAACTCTAAACACTATTCTCTGGGGTAGCTATATCATGAAGACCAAGTCATTCATTAATAGTTGTAAGGAAATATCATATTTTGGTGTAGCAGACGCCCATAAGCTCCACACACTGGTGGACCATTTACTTGTTTGGGCAGAGTCTGGTGTTTTTTCATTATTCTTAAATACTTTATCATTATTCAAACTATTTCTTATTGTATACTGAGGTGAAAATATATTTTATGAAAATATTAACTGCATTAGTTCGGTACTTAAATGTGTTTTCGTTGTTTTTTTAGGTGAGTGAATAAGCCAGCTGTCACAGACAGATATAATAGTTTTATTCAATTAACAGTTAATTCACACCTGTGAAACTAATTTTTCCCGTAATGTGTGTATATTTTGATACTTTGTTTAGAATCAAACCTTTTTTAATGGTAGATCTAATAGTAGTTTTCTTTTTATTCATCAGACGGCAACATTACACAATCGTCTAGGATCCCTACTTGTATGTTATCTAAGCCTTAGGAACTGTATTGTAATGTATACTCATGTACCACCGATGGTGTTTTTTCTGATAATACACAGCATACGAGAATCCGAATCCGTTTATACATAGAAACCGCCAGGGTGTCAAAACAATAGAGTGTGTGAGTGAATGAGTATGGTTTTACGTCGCTTTTAGCAATATTCCAGCAATATCACGGCAGGAGACAACAGAAATGGGCTTCACACATTGTACCCATGTCGGGAATCGAACCCGGGTCTTCGGCGGGACGAGGAACGCTTTAACCACTAGGTTACCCGACCGCCCCTCAAAACAATAGAATATACTTCCGAATAAAACCGAGGAAGCGTCTCCGGCAGTGAACAGTATTGTACACTAGTCACGTGGTGCCAGGCCACTGTCATGTTATACTCACTATCGTCAACCTTGTATCTCTTGAGCAGGGTGGCGAGTAGGCAGTCACCAAGGCCACAGACCACAACGCAGACACCAGGCACAGCAGGAAATTGAATTTGCATCAAAACTGTGGCGACTAATGTTCAGACTTATCTGCTCTTGAATGTATGCATTTAAAGAGTACGTTCGTCGATAGTGTCACATGTGTCCCATTCAATACCAATTGATTCGTCTGTACACAGGTTTAAGCATGACAACACTATTACGAGGTCGCTATAAATAGCCAATGTCGTGAGGTGTTTGTTGTTACATATAGATTACATACAAAAAGAGTCCTTGCGAAGCTGTAGCGTCGGCTGTTTGAACAAGATGATTCTGTCACAGTAAAACTGTTCATATCATGAACACCTGATGCCTATTCTTTGACGCTGACGTTTGATATTTATATGTCAAACATTCTATTTATCAGAGATATGAACTGCTAAAAATCAAGATTTATCCGAATTTGTAAAACTCTGGCATATGTATGTGGACCTGAGGACTTAATTGCATGACATCCCTGGGCTGAAGTATAGCTCACATGGTCTCTGATACAACGTGAAACTAAACTGTTGTTATTGCTTAGTGTAAACTGCCGGGCAAAAGACACTTGCAAAATGGATTTTGCCGAAATATTACAAACGTTATCAAAACGTTACTAGGTTGAAAACAGTCGCCGAAACACTGCAAACTTAAGGCCCAAAACACAACTATGATACCCGTATCAAATACATCACTATCGAATAACCAGTTCTTGTTTTTTCAATTAAGCCACCATCAACCATAAGTATACTTTCTTTTGCCCGGCAGTGTAGTATAATTCAATGTGATGCCACCGACGTAGTGGCACAAGTCGTGTACGCAGATCCAAAGTACTGCCTATATACTGTTATTTACCTGTTATTTCATGTACACATTATAATATAAGACTGAACGTTCCTGAAGGTAATGGTGCTGAAGCTTTGAAGACAGGTAGCATTTCAACATTTGACCTGGCATATTACAAACACAAGAACATCTATTTCTTTTTCAGTTAAATACATGTATAATGTGATTCACGCGTGTATCAAACATAGGGTTCTCAAAACATCGTAAACGACTCTATAAAACATACTGCCGTCAAACTGATGATTATGCACGATGACAATACACGTGGATTAACAACATTCAAGTGTCCCACAATTTGTCTTTAACAAAGTCCTCGTTGTGGACGTCCCAAATAAACAGGATTGGTGTAAAAGACGACTTAAATGAGGATCCGGTGTCAACTGTTTGAGTATGTACATGGAAACTATGGATCGGTGTTAAGCCAATGGTTGGCCAGGTCTCGTTTATTTACAGGTCGCCTTGATTTTGCTTTTGTGCTATTGACTGAGATGAAAAATGATTTATTCTCCAATTCATTACTGACATTCTCAATTGTTTGGTGAATGTCCGTATCCTAAGATCAAAATGTACGTCTGACTTGTAAAACGATCACTATTCAGACTCTTTGAAAGCAGGCAGCATATTCTTGATAACGTGAGCTAAATCTTCCATCGCTTCAGTGCCGAGCTTCCGACATCGCCCGCAACACACAGCCTTACATTCTCGACATTCGTGCCTTGCATGGCGGTGGGAGAACTCGTTACACTTGCCGCTGATGATAGTCTGGAAGTCTTCTTGGAGGTTCCCGGAAGCAGTGGTGGAGCTCTCCAAAACCGGTCTGACAAGTCCCTCCACCAACACCAATCGTCGCTTAAAGAACTGGACAGCTGTCTTGTCGCAGAGATCTTGGAACCCCTCCTGGTGTTGTAGCCCATTGACATCACTGTATTCAATGTACACAGCCTGGGTCAGACAATCCTCAAGAACATCATTAAAGTCATATTTGTCTGCTAGATGCATGAAATGTACCAGCTGAGACTTAGATAGAGTTTTCACGTTTAGTTTCAGGTAGGTTGTGACAAACGTGCGACAGCGTTGTTTTAGTGACGTCATAAGGTATTCCTCCGCTAATGGAAGTAGTGCGTCAATGTTGTCTGCTGTGATCGGATTGGTGGTCGATGGGTAAATGCACAGAAGCAGCTCTACCATGTCGTCGTATGTCTTCTCGGGTAGCGGAACTTCTAATAAGGTTTTCTCTTTGAATTCCCCAAAGAACATTTTTTCAAAGACTGGAGATGCAATCGAAAGTACTGTTTTGTTCACGTGCAGCTTTTTACCCTCGACTACAAGCGCCACATCACTGGTTAGGCATGCCTCGGAAAACATGTTCATTGACTTTTCCATGGCCGCTGTAATGAGAAAGTTTAGAAACATTTGAAAATTTCTTTTGCACAGCTCCATGTTCTTGTGGTGAAACAAAGCATAGCGATGACTTCAGACTTTCCCCAAGACCCTATCCACGACGAATTATTCAATGCTTGACAAAACGTAAGTTCTTTGAAATAATCACCAAATAACAGTTTGTTTGTTTTTTGTACATTTTACATTATATACACAGTACATGTGTAGCTGCTTCTTCCCGAAGCAAGGTGTCAACTGACTGTAAAAGCCTACCCGCGCCGAACTAGACTGGCATTTCTAGACTCGATCGTTGCGCCACCAGTGGCTATTACAAGTCTCGATCCTTCTATGTCCCTCCTATTGACCAATCATATTCCACCTCTCATATCACTTGCGTTTGCTTCATGCAAAATGACGGCGTGCAGTCGAGATGATCTGACCGATAATCAAAATTTATTGTGATAAAACGGGTCTTACTTCGCGAAGTGCATCAAATGGCATGAGTGCCTTGATTAAAAAACTTGAAAAAAAATGGAAAATATCTGTTGACGCCGATTTGGGGGTACACTTGCTTTACAAATCCTGCAATAGACCAAAATAATCCATAATTTCAGCCTAGTTCGGCGAGGGTGGAAACTGGACTTTTATAGTCAGTTAACTTCCTTGACTTGGGAAGATGGTGTAGCTGTAACGTTTACTATGCATTAGAACATAAATGGCCTGCGATACCTTGTGAGCTACTGTCAGTGACAATCGAGTGTATTATATGTCCCTGTGATTTCACACACTCAAGTGACAGCTGACATAAACGTACATGGAGATACAGACCTACGTGTTTTCATACAAAGTAACTGTGAACTGTGAGACACGACAGTGGCCTGTGTAAAGAATATACACCCGGATAAAACCGAGAATCGTCTCCGGCAGTGAACAGTATTGTCCACTGTCACATGGTGTTGGTCAACTGTCATGTAAGACTCACTGTGTGTTCGTCTACCTTGTGTCTCTTCGGCAGGGTGGCCCTCCGAGTACTGTCAGTCAGCGGGTGGACAGTCACTGATACCACAGCGTAGCACGTAGGCACAACGTCGACACAACGTAGGCACAACGTCGACACAACGTAGGCACAACGTAGGCACAACGTAGACACAACGTCGACACAACGTAGGCACAACGTAGTCTTCATCGCCGACGGACTATACACGTTGCCCTTTCAGCTTCCTATTTCAATCAGTTCTTGTTTAGATATGGTTAACCTTAACGGCTTGGTGTATTATATATTTTAACATAAGACACCATTGCTAAATCCAACGGAGGGAACACTGGCTTTGTACAGCTAGCAGGAGCTCTACCGAATAATTGAATCAACACTTGCGAATATTGTGTAGAGTTATGTGCTCTTGATATGAGTCAGGCGCTAAATCGATCTCTACGTGCAAACAACGTTTGACTTGTGAAATAACCAACTCGCCGTTTAGAAACACTAGTCGTGTTATGTTTTCAAAAGTATTATTCCAATGAAACAAACATCGTTGTTAATGTATGCATTTACTTTTTAACAAAAAACTTGTGTTCCATTCAATACTCAATGAATCGTCTGTAAAATGTTTGAGTGTGAGGACACGAGAATGGGGTGGTTATAAATAGCCCACGCCAGGCGGGGTTTGTTGTCCACATTGATAACATACATACCGAGTCCACACGTAGCTGTAACGTTGGCGGTTTGAACAAGATGATTCTGTTATATCAAAACTGGCTTTATATTTCTCTTCGAAACATACCGGTGAAGATACGGGTTAGAATGGGTCTTCAGCAACCCATGCCAACCGTAAAAAGCGACTTTCCTTGTTGTGAGAGTGAGTGAGTGGGTTAAAATGTAACGTCACATCGGCATCATTTTTAGCCAAGTGGTGACGAGGCACAACGTCGACACAACGTAGGCACAACGTCGACACAACGTAGGCACAACGTAGGCACAACGTAGACACAACGTCGACACAACGTAGGCACAACGTAGTCTTCATCGCCGACGGACTATACACGTTGCCCTTTCAGCTTCCTATTTCAATCAGTTCTTGTTTAGATATGGTTAACCTTAACGGCTTGGTGTATTATATATTTTAACATAAGACACCATTGCTAAATCCAACGGAGGGAACACTGGCTTTGTACAGCTAGCAGGAGCTCTACCGAATAATTGAATCAACACTTGCGAATATTGTGTAGAGTTATGTGCTCTTGATATGAGTCAGGCGCTAAATCGATCTCTACGTGCAAACAACGTTTGACTTGTGAAATAACCAACTCGCCGTTTAGAAACACTAGTCGTGTTATGTTTTCAAAAGTATTATTCCAATGAAACAAACATCGTTGTTAATGTATGCATTTACTTTTTAACAAAAAACTTGTGTTCCATTCAATACTCAATGAATCGTCTGTAAAATGTTTGAGTGTGAGGACACGAGAATGGGGTGGTTATAAATAGCCCACGCCAGGCGGGGTTTGTTGTCCACATTGATAACATACATACCGAGTCCACACGTAGCTGTAACGTTGGCGGTTTGAACAAGATGATTCTGTTATATCAAAACTGGCTTTATATTTCTCTTCAAAACATACCGGTGAAGATACGGGTTAGAATGGGTCTTCAGCAACCCATGCCAACCGTAAAAAGCGACTTTCCTTGTTGTGAGAGTGAGTGAGTGGGTTAAAATGTAACGTCACATCGGCATCATTTTTAGCCAAGTGGTGACGAGCTTGTCGTAAGAGGCGACTAACAGGATCGGGTGGTCAGACTCGCTGACTTGGTTGATGCATGTCATCGTATCCAAATTGCGTGGATCGATGATCATGATGCCAATCACTGGATTGTCTGGCCCAGACTCGATTATTTACAGACCGCCGTCAAATAGCTGGAATATTGCTAAGTGCGGCGTGAAACTCCTATGTATATGGACCGGGGACTATAATATACCTTTGACACCACTGGGGTGAACTAAAGCTGAGATCGTCTTTGATGCCACGTGAAACTGACTGCTGTTATTGATTTATGTGAACTGCTGGACAAAAGAAAATGGTCCCTTGAAAATTGGATTTGACCAACAAATTACAAACGATAGGAAAACGTTGCAAGGCTTAAGTCTGCCTGTTGTTGTCCATTTGTGTCCACTAGGTAGATGCAGTTGCTGTAAACTATGTTCATAACGAACACGCTCTTAAAGGAACCTATGATGACGAACGTATTGTTTGGTCCCGACCATTTGTTATATGTATGCTGTGTATATTCTTATAACGACTCTCACACTATCAACCACTGGTTTGCTTGCTCCAGCACCCCGTAAACAGATTGAAATCTTTTCCCTCATTTGATAGTTAAATGTTCGTGTTAAAATTATACACATCAATTTTCACACAACTACTGGTATATATGTGTTCGGTTTGTATAGGTGAGGGAAGATATCCGCGCTGTAAGAAGTACAACTTGTGATATCAATCAGCCGGAGTTGACGAAATATGGATGACACAAAGAGCTCCAGAATACCATAGAACAGCACTTTATTTCTCTCAGGCCGAGCGCATCGGCACATAAGGTACAAACAGTATTTTACATTGCGGTGGACAGAGGTTAACTGGGAGTTTTTTTTACAATTTTCATTATAATGTTAATAAATTTAGTTTGTTTTGGACAGATATCTTGTGACAAATAATTGCTGGAGTTGTAACATGTTTGGTCTTTTTAAAAAGTGTTTTCGATGTACATGTCCCTTTGTTCATTGAAATATTTACATTTGAGTGAGTGAGTGAGTGAGTATGGTTTTACGCCGCTTTTAGCAATATCAGACACCAGAAATGGGCTTCACACATAGCACCCATGTCGGGAATCGAACCCGGGTCTTCGGCGTGACGAGCGAACGCTTTAGCCACTAGGCTACCCGACCGCCCCTATTCACATTTAAAAATATAGTGGAATTCATCTTCAATGTCAAAACTATCACACAACCTGCATTTTTCGAATGTCCTCCGTTCCCCTCCCTCGTCATGTCAGACAGGTGTGACGAGCGGCCCAGTCGTTTGAGGCGCTAGGCAGAGTTCTGTCAGAAACATAAGATCGTGGGTTGGAACCCCAAATGGACCCTGATCATGTTTCTGGGTGTGCCAGCTCCATGCCCGAGCTGGTGGGTTTCACCCAATTAATAACAGTCATCAACTGGGCTTTCCTCCCACATAAAGCTGGCACGTCGTGAAGTAAATGAAATACCGTTCAAGGGCGTAAAACATTGCTCACTCACAAAACAATAACTCGTCCTCTCTCATGTCAGGAAGTGTTGTGTATACGGAAAGCGAAATAAAGAAGAGTTTTTAATATTTCACAAGAACAGTGTACAAGGAAGAGAAGTTGTCAGTCGACCACTACACCAACAAGAAGAGAAAACCCTTGCACAGGTGCAGCAAGAACACGCTCACTACACAATCTTATGTTTTATGCACAGAGCAAGACCCATGCTGGCGTTCCGTGCATTTCCCCACGCTCGTAGCGGTTTGTACTGTTCACAGTCACCCAAATACATGTTGGACTACACTGTATTGTTTAGTAGATTATAATAACCGACCTTCATATATTAGTGTAATTAATAAGGTATGAGTTATCTTTAGTTTCTTCTGAACGCATTTAAATAATAATTTACAGAGACATTCATCATCATCGGGGAACATGTCACTCGATGTTGAACCATAATCTATCACACTAGACCCTCAATGTAGGGGACACGGGTGGCCCAGTCGTCCAAGGTGCCGCGGTTCGCTGTGCAGAGTTGCGTCCTTTGGGCACGTCAGAGACTTATAGTTGTGGGTTCGAATCCCGGATCGCCCCGATTATGTTTCTAGGTTTGTCAGCACCATACCCGTGCTCATAGGCCAATTCGCTGTGCGGAGGCCTTCGAGAAACCTTTGATCATTGGTTGCACACCCCGATTCGCCATGATTAGGTTTCTAGGTTTGTCGACACGAT